ATATAGTTTATCTTGATATATGTCATGAGAGCATTTAAAAAGAAAGTGTATTCTGCTGCTGTTGGGTGAGGTCTTCCATAACTGTCAATTCTATCCTATCGGTTGGGAGGTTGTTGAGTTATTCTGTATCTACTGATTTTCTGTTTCATTTACTCTACTAGTTGTTGAGAGAGAAATGTTGACATTTGTAAGTGTTACTGCGTATTTGTTCATTGATCTGTTCAGGTTTGTTTTGTTTTTTCAAGACAGGATCTCACTGTGCTCGTCAGGCTGCCCTTGAATTCACTGTGTAGCCCAGGCTGGCCTTGAAGTGGCTATCCTCCTGTCTCAGTCTCCCAAGTGCTGGGATTATAGGCATGTGCTACCATGCTCAGCCATGACCTCTTCAGTTTTATCAGGTTTTCCTTCAGAGTTTGTAGCTCTATTGTTTGCTATATACACATTTAGGAAGGACATTTATGATTACTTAATGTCTATTTCTAATAATTCTCTTTTTTGTTGTTGTTGGGTTTTCTTTTCTTTTCTTTCTTTCTTTCTTCTTTCATCTTTTTGAGGTGGAGTTTTGCTATGTAGTTCAGACTGGCCTGAACTATAGGCCCAGGTTGGCCTTGAACTTGCAGTGATCCTCCTGACTTAATCTCCTGAGTGCTGATATTACAGACATTCACCACCATGACTGGCCTTTAATAATTTTCCTTACCCTCTGTCTACCAGCTTTACCTAATATAGAGGGCCCCTGACTTTCAATTTTTCAACTTCATAGTACTGTGAAAGTGGGATGCACTCAATAGAAATCATACCTCCAATTTTGAATTTTTATCTTTTCCTGGGCCAGTAACAAGTGATATGATCCTTTCTAGTGATGCCAGATAGTGGCAGGGAGCCATAGCTCCCAATCTACCATACAATCACAAGTGTGAACAGCCAATGCGCTATTGTGTACTGTGTTGCCATTTTTATGCTGTATTTTGTTTTCTATTTCATGTCTGTAAAATGCCCAGCTCTGTGTATAAAGAATTTTTCATCACTTCCTTTTTTATAAGATAGGCTTTGTGTTAAATGATTTTGCCCAACTGTAGATTAAGATAAACATTCTAAGAAAAGCATATTTAAGGTAGGTGGGCTAAAAGTTAGCTGTATTAAATGCAGGTTTAATTTGCAGTAGGTTTATCAGGATATAATCCTACCACAAGTCACAGAACATTGGTATCAATATAGCTCTGGCTCCTTGTACTTAATATTTGCATGATATATTTTCTATATTTTTACACTCAACATATCTAGGTAATTATATTTTGAGTTTATTATAGATAGTGTATAGTTAGATCATATTTTTTCTGATCCATTCTGCTAGCCTCTAGCTTTTAATGTAATTCTTGGTATAGCTCAATTTATTTTGCTATTATATTCTTTTTTCTGCATTTTCCTCCAGTACTGGGGATTGAACGCAGGATCTTTGCACTGAGCTGCATCCCCAACCCTTTATTATGTTTTATTTTTTGAGACAGGATCTCACTAAGTTGCTAAGTTGCTCAGATGGGCTCAAATGTTGTGGTCCTCCTGCCTAGCATTCTCCTGCCTAGGATTATAGGCATATACTACCACATCTTCTTTTTTTTATCCTGCGTATCATTTCTATTTTTCCTTTCCTTGCCTTTCTGTGGGTTACTTGAACACTTTTAAGATTCCATTTTATCTGTGGTGATTTTGAAGGTATCTCTGTAGCTGTTTCAGTGGATACTCTAAGCCCCTCATGTTATATGTGTAGGGAATCACAGTCCCCTGCTGTTACATTTTACTAACTTGGATGAACCATAAGAGTCTTGGTTCCCTTTATGTCCCTTGACCTTCCTCCATTTATAATAAAATTGTCCTAAGGATTTCCTTTCCAAGTATTTAGAACCACATCAGATGTTTATAATTTTTGCTTCAACCATAAAATGTAATTTAGGAAACTCAAGAAGAGACCTAAAATTTCTCTTTCCATTTTTTCTTCTTCCTTTTTCATGTTCAAAAACTCTTAATTTTTGCTTTAATTCATATTAAAGAACTTTCTTTGGGCTATTTTTGGGGGGTTGGTCCATTGGTAACAAATTTTCATAGTTTTCCTTCATCTAAGGATGTCCTGATTTCCCCTTCACCTCTGAAGTATATTTTGGCTACTTATAGAACCCTGGGGTTGACAGTTCCTTTTAGTAAAGAAAACATCATGCCATTTCTTCCTACCTGCCGTGGTTTCTGGTATAAAATCCAATGTCATCTGAATTGCTTTTCACTGTAGATATCACGTTGCTCTTCTCTCCCTGCTTTAAAGGTTTTTTTCTTTGACTTTTATGTTTAAAAATTTCACTACGATATGTCTTGGTGTGGATTTCTCTGAATTTTACTATTTGGGGATGCAATCAGCTCCTTGACTTGTAAGTATATATCTTTTATAAGTCTTGGGAAGTTTTCAGCAATCTTTCTCTGAGTACTTTTCAGTCTCCCTTCTTTTCTCTTTTTCTTCTGATACCTGTTATTATAGTCCTAGAAGTCTTTAAAGCCCTGCTCATTTTCTCTCTGTTGTTTATACTGAGTAATTTCTATTGTCCTCTTATTAATTTCCACTTACATCTGTCACTTCCAGTCTGCCGTTGAGTCCAATCATTGAATTTTCTACTTTGGTTACTGTATTTTTCAGTTCTACAATTTCCGTTTGGGTTTTCTTTACCTCTTATACTTCTTTTTTGAGACTTCACATCTTCTCAAAGGTGTTTATAACCACTCATCAATATATTTTTATGATGATTGCCTAGAACCTTTATAAAATAATTTGAACACCTTTGTCATTTCAGTATTGGGATCTATTGATCATCTTTTTCATTTAAGTTGAGATGTCCCTGATCCTGGGAACACTAAGTGATTACAGCAGCAACTGTGACATTTTGGGCATTTTTTATGGGACTCTGGCTCTCATTTAAACCTGCAGTTTTAGCTGGTCTCCTTGACATCATCCTGGCAAGGGAAGGTGGTGCACTGACCTGTAACTTCTGGGTAGGAATGCGGGTCTAGTTCTCCCACTAGGCCACCATTGACATTCAAGGTGGAGAAAGTGCCAGGCAGGAAGGAGTGGGCATTCCGGCTCCCCACTGGGTCTCTGCTGACACCATCCTCAGGGTGAGGCAGAGGTGGCTCATTACTGCTCCCCAAGTGGCCTACACTGACATCATGGGAGGGGAATAATCTCATTACCACTAGGTAGTGGCAAAAGTCTTCACTCTTGACTAATCTTCTTCTGACATATGCCAGGAGAGAGGGAGAAGGGCACCTTGCTGCTGCCTGGTGGAGGTTCAAGACCATATTCTCTATGTGGGTCCCACTGCACTCGGGGGCAGGTGGGCTGTCCAGTCCAGTGAAGGGTGCAGCTTACACTGGTGCAACTCCAGCAAGCAGGAGGTTGGGGTGCCTTCTTAAAGCCCAATGAGGTTGAAACTTGAGCTCTCATCCCTGGCTGGTGCAGGTGGAGGCTGGAGCTACTTGTTTTTTTCTAGGATGTGTGTGGAGTAGAGCAGTTATTGCTAAAAGCTTTCTGTCGCCAGTTGACCCTTTCCTGGTTCTTCAGCTGGAGAAAGCAGGCTTTTGTTGGGGCTTTGAAAACAGATTAATCGATTGAAAAAGGAGCAGCACGGAACCACTGCTCCTTGGTCCCTGAGGCTGGAAGGCTCGGGTATGCCCTGGAGCCTTTCTCCCCCTCCCCCTCCTCCCTCAGCCCCCAGGGCTCCCACAAAGGCACAGTTTTAAGGCACTGGAGTTGGAGCGCCTGCCAGTGTTTGCATCACGAGTTCTGAGCCACTGCAAAGAGATGTAGGTGGTTGGCCTGGTTTTCAGAGCCCGGAGTGGAGTGGACACGGGGAGGAGAGGAGAAGACGGTGATGAGGGAAGGGTTGTCAGCCTACTCTGCCCTCCAGGAATTCTGCAGGGGCAAGGGCAGAGGAATGCTGGGACAGATTGGGAGATAAACAGTCCAGGTCAGTGGGGGCTGTGACTGATCACCAAGGGAGGCCGCCCACGGCCCCTGCAGGCCAGAGGGACACCAGTTCACTGCTAGGGGCTGAACAAGGCGTGAATGTCCAATCCAGACCACCTTCAGAGCTCAGTAGCCCAACAGCACCGGGAGCTGAATGTCAGTCAAGGGGGCCCAGCTCCCTTCTTCACGGCTCCTTCAGGCGGCCCCGTCCCTTTCCCCGTTGCAGTTACAGAGAAAAGGAGGTCAGAGCCACCTGCCTCAGGGGACACGGGCAAGAGCAAGCTCCCTGACGACCACACAGCCTCTTGCCGGTGACACCAGCAGACACGGCAAAGTCCCCCCAGTGGTCTCGGCGGCCCGGGCTCTTTAAGGTCACAGCAGCAGAGCTGAGGAACCATCCTACTGCCGTGTGAGCTCAGCACGCACACAGGGCCGGGGTGGCCCAGAATCCCCAACGAGGGGCAGGCCAGGCTCTCTGCTCCCACTGAGCCACAGGGACTGAGACATGGGGAGGGCAGCAGTGTGGCCCTGAACTCCACAGAGACAGACCAGAGGCAGAGAGGCACATCCAGGCCAGGACGGAGAGCCTGCTGGGACCCAGCCCAACTTGTTGCTCTTGCTATGGGACCTGGGCCAAACTGCTTAACGCGTCCGGGCCTTCTAGCTGTTATCATGTACACCTCTACGATGTCCCACTTCCCTCAGCCCGCAGCGTGCGCTTTCTGGACAGGGTTTTATATGCATGGCATGGGGGGAAAGTGCCTGGCTTCCATTCTTCTGTTTGGGGTAGATACAAAATAAAAGAAGCTAGTGTTTGTGTGGGACTCACTTCCCACTGTCCTGGCATGACCAGGGCAGCTGACACGGTCACACTCCAGGCAGGGTCAGGCAGGTGACCCGAGAGAGAATGTGTGAGTAGTGCCAGGCAGCGGGGGGTGGCGGGACTGGGGTGGGTTGGAGTGCGCACGCCCATTGAAAGGTCAGTCACGGTCACTGGCTGCCCAGGCACAGGCAGATCTTCCACCTGCCCAGACCAAGCAGAAAGCCGGGTTGTTAGGTAAGAGTTTTATCTTTTTAGACAACGGAAAACAAACACAAAATTTAAAAGCATTGTGGAAGGTCAAACAAAACATCCCCCAGCTTTTTCAGCTGGGGCGCAGGCAGTCTGCAGCCTGCTGCCTGCGGGGCGAAGTGGGTGACTGACTCCAGGCAGCGGAATTGACCCTTGGGATCCGCTTCCTGATCCCTGAAGTGGGGGCCAGTGGTAGGCGGAGGCAGCTCAGAGCTGGTAAGGAGCCTCTCGCGGGGCCTGGCACGGTGAAGCTGGTGTTGCCAGTCCTCACTGGGTCCCGCTGGCCCAGTAAGCCAAGCACTGCTTGTCGCCCCCAGGGCCTTTTCTCCTGGGCTTTGTTCCAGTTGGAGAGAGTGAGGCACAGAGTCAGAGAGAGGAACAGCACAGGGCTCCCCAGAGGGGGTATGCGGACGCTTGGGCATCTGGGGGACATGCCCCTCAGCAAAGGCAAGTGGCCCAAAGCCGGGTCACCCTTGACAATCTCTGTCGTTAATCAGGCACTTTGAGCTTGGTCTCACACAAGCTTTACAGCCACCCTGTGAACGCGCCTTGCTATTGTTCCTGTTCTGGAGGTGACAGAACAGGCTTGGAGGCCTTGGGTACCGGCCTGGAGCATCTGCTCTGTGCCAAGGCCCCTCCGTGGCACTTTCCTTCCCCTTCTGGGTGGCTGCCCTCCAAAGAGGGCCCAGGGCGCCTCCCTCCCGCCGGGGGCCCTCGCTTCCCCTTGAGCCTGGCCCCGTCCCTTGTGACCAGCAGAACATGGCGCAGCGGTGCTGCGGGGGCTTTGCACCAAACTCCGGCAGCCTCCTCCTCCTCCTGCAGCGTCCTTGCTCACTGTCCCAGGGACCAGCCTCCATGCCGGGGCGGCCATCTCGGATGCCTAGCAGATCAGCACGGACTGGAGCTTCATGAAGTCCTCAAGCTAAGCCCAGTCAATCCCCTCAACTGTAAGATAATAACATGTAGAGTTCTACTTTAAGCCACTAGATTTTGGGGTGATGCAGTAGAGAGCAAGACACTACTTGTGAGTGGTCAGGCCAGACTTCCACAGAGGGGGAGAATCTGCACTCAGGCACCTCTGCTTCCAGGGCCATGAGCCACTGAGCTTCCTTCGTGCTGACGTTGACATTGACGCCGACGCCGACACCGACGCTGACATAGGGGGGCTTTTGCATTCTGATCCAGAGCACTCTGGTCGAGCCCACTGGACTTTTCCATCATACACTCCAAGAAGCACTCCTGGCTCAGGTGAGTGGGGATCCCACCACTCACACAACAGCACCCTGACTTTCTGCCTCCTCCTTGCGCACGGTGCCTGCTCCGGCTGCTGACTGCGCCCTTAAGGGGACCCTTCTGCACCCTAAGGCCGTCCAGGACCCTCTGGGCCTTACTAGACTCTTCCCCGGCTTCCCTCTCCACCTTCCAGAGCAGGGTCAGCTTTGTCACACCTGCTCGGTGCCGTCACCACCGTGTGACAGCAGCTGTAGGTAACACACAGTGAGCAGGGCTGCACGCCAAGGAAACTTTATTATCGTGGACAATGCAAGTTGAATTTCATGTAATTTTCACCTGGCACAAAATAGCGTCCTTCTTTTGATTTGTTTGCAAGCGCTTGAAAATGTGCAGCTCATCATTTGGGTTGAGCTTAAGGGCAGAGAGCAGATGAGGTCCTCAGGCCCTACTTTGCCAACCCCACTTTAGTGTCTCCAGGTCCTGGGACTAAGAGGTGCCGCACCCTCCTCTGCCCCCAGGAGCCTTGGGCCCTGAAAGTGCTCTCACCCTGATGGTCTGCAGCCACTTACCAGAAGGACCACCCGTAGTCCCAGGAGTGGGGTCTCCAGTCTTCAGGGCCGAGGCTCACGGTGACCTGGAACACCTGCGTGTACATCATGTGGGCAACCATCCCCAGGAGACCTGCAGACAGGAATACAAAGGCATCAGGAGGAGGCGGGCCCATCCCCACCCCAGGGCCTCTCGCCTGCCTGCCTGTTGGGGACCCTGAGGAAGTGTGGCTAGTGGGGACAGGACACGGCAGGCCAGGGGGCAGCCTCTAAGCTGGCCAAAGAGCCCAAGCTGGGGCCACAGGGCCGAGGGCAGCCCGAGAGAAGCAAAAACAGAGGAGGCACAGTTAGATCAATGTACAGATCTGTAAAGGCCAGGCAAGTAAAATATCCTAGAGTCTGTGGACAGTGTGGTCTCTGCTGCACTGAGCAGCCCTGCCAAGGTAGCACGAAGGGAGCCAGAAGCAATACATAAATGTTTGTGTGTGGCTGTGTTCCAATAAAACTTTATTTACAACAACAGGCAGGGGGCCAGATTTAGCCAATAGTTACGACTGGCTAATACCTGTGTTAAAAGGTCATTCAGGGGAAACAACTTAGAGAGTGTTTTTCAAACTACAGGTCTTGACTCATTAGACCAGTGGGTCATGAAATTAACATCATAGATTCTGAACATAGCAGGTTAAAGAAAAAAAGAGAGAGAATGAAATGGAATAGGAATATCTGGTACTGTTAGATGTAGCAGAAGTAAATATGCCTGTGGGGGGAGGGGTTGACTTTAATATGATTTTTTTTTTTTTTTTTTTTTGGGCTCAGGAGCAGGCTGGCTTTGATCGCAGGGGATCTGAGTGTGAATCCTCTTCCATCACAATGTTCCTGTGTGGCTCTGCGCAGGGCACCTCACCTGTCTCAGCCTCACACCCTTCTACCCACCAAGGATGGAGACAGGTACAGGGAGTCATTGATGTCCCAGGTCTATGCTGAGCAGGAGCAACTTACAACTGCAACCACGACTAATGTGAACCAGATACACTTCTCTGTAGGGAAGGGGAAGGGGAAAGGCGTGGGCTGTGGCCTCAGAGCGCTCCCAGGTGCCACAATGTTGGCTCGCTGGTATGGACTCAACCTTAGGAAGGAGCGCTGCCGAGGAGGAGGAGGGTAGATGATCAGAGGAGAAAAGGAAGCCGGCAGCGCTTGTGCACACGTTTATACCAAGCCTTTGGTCAGGCTTCCTCTCCTTCATTGTTATTTCTTAATCTTTGTCAAGTCTTCTGAAGCAAGTAGGATGGCTGGGGCTCGGGACTGTTGTTCAAGCTGCTCACTGCACATTGCCAAGCCAGCCATTTGTATCCTAGTCCATGTGTGCACCACTGCCTGAGACTGAGACCAGCCACACCCGCAAGGTGGGTGACCCCTGTGGTGGCCCCTCCGGTGGCCGCTGGCTGTAGTTATTCCTCTTTCACAGAGGAAAATATGGAAGCTGAGCGTGCAAAGTCAGTATCAGGTCGCACGGGGTGCGGATGGCTCAGTGGTGATGGGGCTGGCTTCACAGAGTCTCAAAACCAGGGTTCTCCCCAAATTTCCCAGCAAGCACGCCTCCCTTCCTGCACTGCCCATCACTCTTTTCCCATTCCTGAGGAGGAGAGGAGGAAAGAAAGACACAGAGAGGGACTGAGGCCCAAGTCCTAGAGCTCAGCCCAGGGAGAACTCCTCTGCTTCCGTGTGTGGAGTGGGTGTTTGGTCGCTGAACTGAAAAAAAAAAAAAAAAAAAAGCAAGCGGGGGAGACCCAATGCACAGCATTTGCCAATTCCTGTGGGGCCAACACTCCCCCCGTGGTTAATTCCAAGTTACTGAGGCGCAGCCTGTGAAAGCAGAGGGGAGAAGTGCAGAGTGGGGCCTCAGGAGAGGAGCAGCACCCACAGCAGGCCTCTGTGCACCTCCTTCCCACCATGTGACCCCAGCCACGAGCTCAGGACTGAATGTGGTCTGGAGTTCGTGGCTGGGGTCAGCCTCCTAAGGATACTTGTCACTTCTCCCTGACCACAGAGGAAGGTGGCTTTTCAGGGCTGGGAGAGTTCTTGGGTCAGGAAATTATTAGGGAGGGTGGGTGACAGTGCCAGATGCTGGGGTTTCTTCAGGCACTGCCTCAAGTACTTGCCGAAATCCTTACCTGTATATAATATTATAAAGCATTGAGAATGTTGCCCGTTGCGTGGTGAAAATTGACACTCTAATTTTATATTTCCCTTATTACTAGTGAGTTCGGGCACTTTTCATACTTTTATTAGTCACTGTTATTTCATCTTCTGTGATGTGCCTGTCTGTATCTTCTGTCAATTTTCTTTGTGCATATTTTTAAAAATCTATTTCTTTATCAGTTGATAGGGATTCTTTATGTATACTGATACTAATCCTGTCTATGACACAGATAGCAAATAGTTTACTGTTTGTCTTTTCCCCTGTGTACCAGTTTTAAAATTAATAAACCTTATATTATTAGAGTAGTTTTATGTTTAGGGAAAAATTGAGTGGAAAGTAAAGTTCCCGTAAACCCATAGTCCCACACCCACAGTTGCTGTATTATTCGCATCTTGCATTACTGTGGCATGTTTGTTACGGTGGATGAGGCAATTTTCATACAATCCATAGTTTATATTAAGGCTCATTCTTGGTGTTGTACATTCTATGGCTTTTGACAAATGTATGGTGGCACGGCTATCATTACCATATACTTTAGAACGGAATATTTTGTGATGAAAATCCGCTATTCATCCCTCTCTCCCCGCTCTTCCAAGTGCCTGGCAACCGCTGAACATTTACTGTCTCCATCGCTGTGCCCTCCTCCAAATATCACATAGTTGGAATCATTAAGTGCACGGCCCTTTCAGAATGGCTTTCTGCAGAGAGCAGTGTGCACTTAAGGGTCTTGCATGTCTGTCCATGGCCAGATAGCTGATTGCCTTTTATCACTGGATAATAGTCCACTGTCGGGATGTTCCACAGTTGTTGTTTATGTTTTGCTAACCCTTCACCTACCAAAGGACATCCTGATTGCTTCCAACTTTTGGCAAATAAGAACAGTGCTGTTCTTGTCATGTTTTTATGTTGATCTAGCGAAATTTATCAGTTTCTTTTTTTAGTTTTTGCTCCCCATGTCCTTTAAGAAAACCAATATCATTAACACATCCTTCTGTGCTTTTCCTAACATACCTATAGATATTTGTGTTAATCCACCTGGAATTTATCTCAGTGAATGGTGTGACTTAGGGCCTAACTTAATTTTACAGTGATTAGCTAATCGCTCTGAACCCTTTATAAACCATTTTTTTTTACATACACACACACAGTAGGGGGATAGAGAGAGAGCCACTAAATCACGAAGTTGCCCAGGCTGGGCTCGAACTTGCGATTCTTTTGCCTCAGCTTCTCAGAGTGGTGGCATTACAGGCACATGTCACCACACCCAGCTTCCCCACTGACCTTAATGACTCCTTTCTACAGGTTGAGAGGATTGCTAATCAAAACACCGAAAATGCTCCACAATCTGAAACTTCCTGAGCACTGACGTGACATCATAAGTGGAAAACTCTGTACCTGACCTCAGCTGACGCATTGTGATCTATACACCGGTGCACGAAAAATACTGCATGAAGTTATTTCGGGGCTACGTGCAACAGGTGCAGACGATACAAAAATGAGTTTTGTCTTTAGACTCGGGTCCCAAATATTTCCAAATGTGATGAAAGCCCACATCCCAAACATTTCTGGCCCCAAGCACTTCAGACAAAGGACACTCAAGCGGAACCCTAGTCCCATCCCCATGTGTTATATACGTGTGGTCCCAATTTGCCACCTGTCCCACTGACCTCTCCCCCTGCTCCTGAGTCGGGCCACACTGCCTTCATCATTACACTGTGATGTCATGATGTCATGATGACACAGCAGGGCCTGTGAGCTGGAGAGCGAGGCTGTCCACGTTCTCTCTCTTTCTGGAATTGCTGCCCTACACAGAAGCCACGTCCCTGGGGTAGAGCATCGGCCCCTTTCTTAGTCTCTGCCAGGCCCTTTCCTGATCTTGCTCTCAGAGTCTCATCTCTTGCAGCTCCTTCCGTGCCTTCTGCACTGTCCATTCCGGAGGCTTCCAGAGTTAGCGGACCTCTCAGGGGCCAGGTTTCCCTGCCTATGGGATGGGCCCAGCAGACAGGACGCTCGGAGCATCACTGCGGAGGAAGGGAACCATTCATGAGGAGGGCCCGCTTTATGCTAGGAGAGGGACAGGAGAGGGCAAACAGCACAGCACCGTAAATCGAAACTTCCCAGCTACACCCTGCAGCGACCCCCGAAGCGGGCAGAATAATTAATTTTCCAAAGTCTTCATTTAGAAAGGCATTGACTCCTCAATTGAATTCCATTTATCCCCAAGTAGGAGAGGCCATGCTCTAAGAAAACTCAATAAATGAAAACTACAACTCACTCACAGATACCTTGGTGAGACTCTCTGCTTGAATTTTAAAGACTCTGCCTCAGACATTGGACCCACCGATCGTGTTTCTAGAAGCACGTTCGTTTTGTAGCGAGGTTCCTGTAGCATCCGTCCTGAGAACCCTTAGCAGAAGGGGTGTCTCCAGTTCATCAGAATTACCAAGCGACTTTCCGCCCTCCTAAACCAGCAGCTACTCAATGAATGAGACTTTCCTGCCGCTGCCTTCTTCCTGGCTCGACCTCACCCCAGGGATCTCTCCGCAGGAGCTTTCCAGAATCTCCCAACTCCAGCGCCAAGGGTCTGGGTGGGGTGAATGCGGCTCCTCCCTACCCCCAGAGGACCTCGCAGAACAATGGAGAGCAGGGATCCAGCGCTGGGCTGGCGTGGTGACGCCCTGAATGCAGAGCGGAGATGCTGCCCTGGCCCCAGCCCTGCCCTTGCAGGTCAGACCGATGGAGCCATTTAGTGATCAGGGGCAGGGGCTGGCGTGGGATTCGAGCCAAGAGATGATGTGGAGAGGCAGAAGTGAGCCTGGGAAGGCAGCAAGTGCGAGAGGGAGGGTGTCTGGCAGCCAGCCCTGTTGACTGCAGCTGTGTGACCTTGGGAAGAGTGCCCTCCTGTGCCTCAGTTTCCTCACCTATAGTCGGGGGTAATAATGACACCTACCTCATAGATTTGTATGAAGATTAAGTGGCTTGTATTTCTACAGCACCTAAAATAGCACTTGGGACATAGTAAGCCCTGTATAAGCATTGAACGAGTGAGTGAATGAATGAATGAATGAATGGACACGAGGCTGAGACTCACTGTATTGGCCGACTAGTCTGCGCACTAGTCCAGAGACAAGATCTGCTTTGCTTTTCACTAGGCGCCAGGCCCTAACCCAGCACCTGATACACAGTAAGCATTTGACGTGTTACTGAATGAAGAAATGACCACTGACGATGGGATGCTTGGGAGTACCTGGCTGGGGGGTACAATGGTGTCCTGTCTAGATTGTAGGAATGTGTTAGGGAAGGACCAGACTGCAAAAGGCTAGAAGGCAAATTTTCTCCATCAGTTATCGTTTCTTCACCTATCACTCATTAATTCAATCGGTCACAAATATGTATGGAACCCTTTTTAAGAGCCAGAAACACTCCAGGGTGGGCTGGGGTGGGGGGCCGGGCGAGATGGACAGATGTCTGACTCTCGGGTCTGTGCTTCTAGCGAAGAGACGTTGGCAGTTAGAGCATTAAGGAATGGGAAAACATCGGGAGGGAAAAGTATCAGGAGGAAAAGAAAATAGGCCAAGTGCTGGGGGCCCAGGGGCCGTGAGGCCCTCGTGAGCTGGCTGGGAGCCGGGAGCCTGGGGGGCAGGGAAAGGCAGGGACGGGCTGGCCGGGGCCTGGGGGCCGGGAGCTAGACTCGTGCAGTGAGTTGGTGGGGGCTCTGAGCAGGGCTCTGATTTATACTTTTGGTTCTCTTGGGGGTGCCGGAAATGGAAGCCAGATCTCCACGTGTCAGGCAAGCGCTCTATCCCTGAGCCACGGTTTTGCCCCTTCATTTATGCTTTGTAGGACAAATGTCCCGATAGGGGATGCTGGGGAGGGCCTGAGAACAGGCCCACACCACAGGCAGGAGGGCGTCCTCAGGGCCAGGCGGGGGCTGACCAGGGCCGTGCTGTCTGGACCACAGTTGGTGGCCACTCTGGGGCTGGGTGGGGAGGCTGAGGGGTGAGATTTAAGTGTGTCCCCAGAGTCCTGTGTCAGAATCTCCATCCCCAATCCGCAGGCAGTGGTACTTGGAGGCGGGGCCTTCCGGAGGCCGGCAGGCTCAGGTGCATTGGGAGGGTGGGCTGGGCCCCTGAGCTGCCTCACTGCACGATGCCCCTGCCACGCAGCAAGAGGACCCCAGCGCGGGGCAGGGCCAGCACCATGCTCCGGGCTTCCCAGCCTGCAGAGCCAGGAGCCAAATGAAGTCCCGCTCTCTCTAAATCACCCATTCTCAGGTACCCCGTTACAGCAACAGGACAAGCGCTAAGGCCCAAAGCCCAGGACGTGCGGAGGGCCTGCCCGGGTGTGAGGCTTCTTAGAGTCCAGGATGGCCTCAAGCATGTAGGTTTGAGTGATGACAAGATGATGGCGCTGCTCGCTGAGATGAAGAGGAGGAGCAAGGAGCAAGCTCAGAGGGGAGCAGGCTCCTTCCGGGACCATCTTGGCTGGAAAGGCCTACTTTCTCTCCAAGCAGAGGCATGGAGTATGCAGCTGAGGACCCAAGCTGAGGCTCTGCGAGGGTGGAGTCCTGGGGTGAGCCTGCATCTGGGGAGGGAGGCCTGGGAGGTGGGAGGACAAGCAGAGCAGCTGGCGAGGCCCAGGGGATGCGCACGGCTCGAGGACAGAGCGAGCCATTAGGTCAGAGATGAAGACACAGGAGTAGCTAGCTGTTGGGGCTGCCCACATGGCGGTCACCAGCGACCTCGACAGCTCTATCTCAAGGCAGCCAGGACAGAAGCTCATCTGGAATAGGTCGGGAATAAGAGAGAGGATAGAGAATGATTTCAAAGCACGTGGCTGCCTGGGACCGGGAAAGTGGGTGATCATCACGGGTGCAGCATGAGGCTTTGGGATGGATTTCGCAGGTGGCCAATACAGCGTGTTTCCGTGCTACCCAGATGATCGCGTAAGGAGAGGTGGGGCAGGGCAGCGAGAGGGCATCCATAAAAGCAGGGTCTGGAGGAAGCGAGGGGAGGAGAAGAGGATACAGAACACAGGGGCTGGGCCGGGGATATAGCTCAGCGGCACAAGTGCCTGCCTGGCAAGCGCAAGGTCCTGAGTTTGATTCCAGGTACCAAAAAAAGAACACAGGGGTCGGGTAGGCTGGGGCCGGGGTGCCTCACCGAGGGAGCAGGGAGCGGAGCCTGTGAGGGGGAAGTGGGTCCTCCGCTGCTTCCTTTCCTCTCCAGCAAGCAAGGGTGAAGCGAGGTCACCAGGTGAGGGGGAGCCAAGGTCGCAGGTGAGAGCAAGGTGGGCAGTTGGGGGCAGGGTGGCTCGGGAGTGCGAAGGAATGAAAGTTCTTTTCACCTGAGAGGGCAAAAGCACAGACAAGCTGTGGAAGGGCGCGTGGTCTGCCGGGCAGTGTCACAGGCCCTGTGAGACCGGCACTCATGAATTTCAAATGAGCCCGGGTGGTGAGGCTGTGGGGCTCAGGTGGGGAGAGGGGGGTGGGCTTGGGTAGACAGAGCTGGGGCCAAGGATACGCGGATTGCGGATTGTCTTCCACCGCTGGGAGGAGACGGGTCTGGCTGGGGCCTCCCCCAAGGTCTTGTGGACCAGAGTCCTGCTGGCCCCTTCTGAGGGCGCCCTCTCCAGCTGGAGGTGCCGCTGGGTGAGGACACGGAGGGATCACGGTGACCTGATTTCAGGACTCGGCTGGCAGCTGGTTCAGGTCTCTTTTGCAGGGTTTGAATGCCTTATGTGAATTCCATGCTCCATTTAATGCAGATATCAGGGAGGTAGCTGGTTAATTAATTTATAATAGGGCTTATTATTAAAGATGCTAAGTTATTACTGAGAACGCTTGGGGCACATTTGCGTCTAAATAAATATTCCTGCATATGCCGGGCCCTGATGCGGACTTGCCAGCATCCCGAGTGTGTCAGCTCAGGACCTGAGACTCCCAGGTGCTGGCGGGGACACGGCAGGAGCTGGACCGCATGGAAAGATGGGGCAGGATGGAGGCAAAGGGAAGCCGGCTGGGACAGCCTGACCTTCAGCAGGTCTCGGAGTACACAGTGAACACTAAGCTTTTCCTTTTCCTTCCTTCCTTCCTCCCTCCCTTCTCTTTTTGTACTGGGGATTAAACTCAGGACCTTTGCACTGAGCTACATCCCCAGCCTATTTTTTATTTTGAACCTGGGCTCAACCTGGCCCTCCTCCTGCCTCGGTCTCCCACAGCGTTAGGATTAAAGGCCCGCACTAAGCAGGCTCGGCTTCTTCTCCTTCCTCTTCTGTTTTTATAATTGCAAATTAACTTTATTCATTGGTAGCCTCAAGTGCAATACCAGGTAGGCTATCATGAGCTCATAGGACAGAGAGGCCACAGACCAAATTAAAACGCCTAAATCATGCCTTTATTGAATCAAGTTAATAATACAGTCAGAAGCAAGGTGGGGGTGGATTAGCCTACTTGGGATGAGTGCCGTGGGGGCAGGGCCATGATCTAAAAGTCCTGCCTCTCCATTTTAGCAGCCCCACCCCCGTGGAGCATTCACAAGGCCCAGCCAGAGTCAGGACGGCCCCAGCTGCTCCCCAGGGAGCCCCACACCTGTTCCCAGGGTGGCCCGGCCTCCTCCCCAACCTGCTGAGCAGCTCCGACTGCCATCTGCATTTCCGGGGCAGAGGACACATGCAGCTGGAACAGGTGTCACCGACAGGTGGCCTGCTCGGGAATGACGCAGCCGTCAATTTGGAAGGCGTGCGAGCTGTGCTTTGTTCGTGCATGGGCCCGTTTTGCTCGCCCGCACTCAGGACGGAGCAGCGTGCGCTGTCGAAGTCTAGCACGTCTCACAAGTGACTTGCAGATCTATACGCGGTTTTGTCCACGTTCTTTTGTTTCTCTTGTTCTGTAACACGGAACGATTGATTTTCTCCCTCCTCACCTGGCTCCTTCTCCACCTGTGGCCTGGGGTGGGACTCAGGGCCACCTGCGGCCGTCCAGCCCAGAGAGGACCGCTCCTGTCACCCACGGGGCCGGATGCAGGGGCAGCACTGCTGTGGCCCTGCCTCCGCTCGGCCCACTCCTCCCCTGGTGAGCCGGAGCGGGACAGGGCAGGAGGGACAGGCAGCTGTGAAAAATCCATTATTTTTAATATAGCACAGGGTCTGTCTTCTGACTACCATTTCCTCGTCTGGCTCTGCGCCTTTTTCTACAAGTGAGTCAGCAGTGCTCCTCGGAGGGACAGCCCAGGTTTTTCTTCTAGGTGGGGGATATGGCAGGGGACAAGTGGCCA